CATGCAATTTTATTACAGAGTAGCCACACCTATTACTGCAACACCTTAGAAACATAAGAAGTATCCCATACTCTGGAAAAGTCCGCCCAACCCTAGTCTAGTACATTAATAAGCGCGAAATAATTATTATCTACACTATTAAAATTCGTAGGTTAACAAACGTGTCTGCAGCGACCTTGCAGCTCAACATAACGACTCCAAAACTGAACTGAATTGATCTGTTATTATTGTAGCGTGCCTGGTTCCATGTGTTGTAGTTTTTGAAAGCTTACCTCTTAATTGCTCATTTAATCTTTAAAGTTAATAAATGTTATTGTTATTTAATTCAACCGTGTTGTAGTGAAGAATGTCTAACCACCCAACGCGGCAGTGGTGACCCTTTTTGGACTTAAAAACACGTAAGCTATTCTGTTCTACTGGCGAATGTAATACAAATTCTTCTACTACGGATGATCAGTACGTAGCGAAAGATTTTTTTTTCTCCTTCTCCTCAAGGCCACTTGAAGCATCTGCTCGGAGATTCGTTTCGCTTCCTGCTTATTCAACAATATGACTAGTGAAACCGTTGAAGTCGCTCGTATTGCGTTGCGGCTGCCGCCGTTTTGAAATCCAACGTTCGTCTATGGATTGCGCAATGCGACCATGCATTCACATTCAGTGGTATCTCCAGTGATGATACTAAGTATTCTGCTTTGGTTGCGAACCTGGATGCTGAAACTCTCTCCTACGTGTCGGACATTGTGTTAAGCCCTCCGAACAGTGACAAATATCACACTCTCTCGCAGCGGCTCATCACCCAATTTAGCGACTCGGAGACTCAAAAAATTAAGAAACTGCTTACTGACCTTCAGCTAGGAGATGAGAAGCCCATCCACCTGTTGCGAAAAATGAAAGAGCTGTCTAATGGCCAACTCCAGGATGACTTTCTGCAAAGTTTGTGGCTTCAAAGAATGCCACCACATATCCAGACTGTTTTATCTGCATCCTCAGAGCCTTTGGATAAACTGGCTATCATCGCTGATAAGGTTTCTGAGGTTGTTGGTTCATCCTCAACTATCTGTGCTGCCACAACTGTTCCTCCACCATCCCAGTCATCTTCATGCAGTGTTCAGCCAACCATGGACTCTCGCCAGGCAGATCCAAGAGCTGTCTCTACAAGTTGCTGAACTGACAAGAGAGCGCAATTCCTCTCGCCACCAACGATATAGTTCTGACCGCCGGAGATCACATTCACGCTCTAAGAGTGTCAATAGAGGAAGTGGCATCTGCTACTATCATCGCCGTTATAAAGAGCAGGCCCGCAAGTGTGTTTCCCCTTGTGCATTTGTGCAAAAAAATGAGTAAGCTCTGTCATAGCTGGAATGGCAGAGCCCTCGCAACATACCAGACGGTTATTTTTATTAGACCGCAAGTCTGGCCAGAAATTCCTCATAGACTCTGGAAGTGAAATCTGTGTCATCCCACCTTCTCCAACTATGAATAAATCACCTCAGTCTAACTTCTCCTTATTTGCTGCTAATAATACCAAAATTCCAGCCTATGGTATGGTCCGTAAAGAACTGAACCTGGGTCTGAGGCGACCTTATATATGGACTTTCATAATTGCTGATGTATCATCTCCTATAATTGGTGCTGATTTTCTAAAGCACTTCAACCTTTTAATCGACCTTAAGAAAAAAGGCTGGTGGATGTGGAAACTTCTCTCTTCACTTCTTGTGTTTTTTCAAATATTGTACAGCCCTCAATCCTCACTGTAGATGCAAACCTGCCTTCTTTCTTAACACTGAGGACTTTCAACTACCTCAAACCAAGTATGAAACACCTGCTACTGTGGAACCTAATGCAACAGCTTCAACACCTGCTACTGTGGAATCTGATCCAACAGCTTCAACGCCTACCCAGCCATCTACACGTTCTGGTCGCAAAGTTCATCTTCCAACTAGGTATCGTTGACACTGGAAGGGGAGTATGCAGCGACCTTGCAGCTCAACATAACGACTCCAAAACTGAACTGAATTGATCTGTTATTATTGTAGCGTGCCTGGTTCCATGTGTTGTAGTTTTTGAAAGCTTACCTCTTAATTGCTCATTTAATCTTTAAAGTTAATAAATGTTATTGTTATTTAATTCAACCGTGTTGTAGTGAAGAATGTCTAACCACCCAACGCGGCATATCTATATGTATGAGTGTTTCCGTATTTTCTCACGAACCACACGACGCAGAAACTCACCGAAGGTACCAAAATGTCGGGAGTGATCCGAGGAATCCGTTTTGACCATTTATATTCCGATATTCCAACTAGACAAAATATATTAATCAAAAACCTTAAAACGCATAATTAGTACCATTTCTCACCGCCAGGAGGAAATTCGGAACTTCTTTTTTCAGACGTTTTTAAAACACGATCTAATTTTTTTCAGGAAACTCACACAAAAAATAATTACAGATTCGTAAAGATCATTTATTTCACCACGATATGCTGTAATTTATTTTACCAAATAATTATATTTAGTGTTTCTTACGATTTTTTTAAAATGAGTCGAAATCGGTTCCATTTTTAAGTATAAAATTCTAAGTCAACTTGCTTCCACTTGCCCTTTCTTTCGCGTTAATGAAAAAAATATTTTACACTAAAAAAGATCATGCTTTTCTCTTTTAGAATCAGTCATTTAAAAAAATTTAATGTCAAAAACTGTTTTTTTTTACGATATTTCAAAAAATACTCTAAATTTTATTTAAATACACATATATAATAACTTCTTTATTAATAAAAATAATCTCACAAAACTTTTTTTCCGCGTGTAGAACAATATTATACGTAATCTGTACAAAGATTGATAAAATGTCTTAAAAATTACGGTTTTAAACAAAAATGTGTTTTTTTTTTCAATTTTTTTCCCTTTTGCAATAAATATGTAAATATTACTTTTTTAAAAAAGTTTTTTGCTTAAAAATTACCGTTGTTTGCAATCGATATATGAAGTTTGAAAGCATTAACTTAAAAATGAAGCCCGAAAACAAATTAGAACTTTTAAAAAATAATCAATTTTACAATAGCTCTGAGTTTGGCGGCGAAAACATGTTTGGCGCAAGAAAACTCTTTTTCTACTCAGCCCTCTACGTTTGAGGAAAGGTTACACTAGAAAAGAAGGTGCGCCTATAAATATTGAAAATCACCAGATTTGGCGAAATTGAATATCGAAAACTTTTTTTTTACGATTTTTCAAAAATTACTTTCGTTTTTTCTCCTTTTTGCGAAAAATATTTAAGCACTATTTTTGTTGCATTTTTTGAAGGTTAAAATTAAAATAAAATATCAAACTGTTTTTATCAGATCGGTTTTTTTAATGTTTTTTTTCAGTACATGTATATAAATATATATATAAAAATATATATATATATACATATATATATATATACATATATATATACACACATATATATATATATATATATATATATATATATATATATATATATATATATATATATATATATATAGGATTTCCCCATACTGTTTTTTTTTCTAACTTATATATATTTATATATTTAATCAAACATTCAAACGTTCAGAAAGAAGCAATCGTTTCAATAGCTATCTGTAACTTTTTCTTTTATTAATTACTTATAGAAATTTGATTTTAATAAATATATATATATATTTTTTTTTAAAGGATTATTTCTATTATTTCATTACTAAAGGAATTCTTTGTTAATTAAAAAGTACATCGTCTATTATTTTGGATCAAAATACATTTTAGAGACATCTTTAAGCTAACTATATGTAACGATTGATTGATTCATGCAAATCTGAAATGTATTTTATTATTTTAGATTCTTAGAAATTAACTATTATTAAAAAATGATGAACGTTTTTTTGTTTTACTCTTAGCATTAGAATCGTTTTCTTTTTATTGCTTCCCATTAATAATTTTTTTAATTCTAACGCAATATTGTTTTTTATAAGTCATATATTGAAATTTGAAGCTATATCTTATCTGCAAGAAGGAGGGGAAGATAGAACAATATTTTTTCACTAAAAAAAACGTGTTTGGGCTATAAAGAGGGGAAAGAAACCTGTCTTAAATTAAAAATAAGTGGAATAGAACAAATTTCGAAAAACGGAAATTTTTTGACATAATTTTAGAAATCACTCACATTGTGCGCGTACAAACACACACACACAGAAATACTGGTGTCATGAGGAAAAGAGAAAACCCAATCAACGCCGGGCTAAGCGGTGGAAGGGTGGGGTGGGGTGGAAGTCATTTTGAAAAAGAGTATTAGATGTGCTGATTTTGTGAAGGAAAGGGAAACTTTATAAAAATAGACCAAGCCCGTGCAATGCCGGGCCATGCAGCTAGTTTAGCAATTAAAAATTGAATACGTTCAAATGCTATTTCAACATTTTGAATTTGGCGGAGGGGATTTAAAGAATTTTTTCTTTTATTTTTGTCATTCGCTATGAATTCGGATAAATATAAGCTGAGCTATTGAAACCAAGCATTTATTTTTTTAAAATTAAATTTGTTATTCTAAATATCATTAGTGCTCTGAGGAAGATGATCCCAAATTCTTCAGTCAATTATTCTTCAGTATAATACTAAAGTCAAAGTACTTTAATAATGAAGTATAAGAGAAAGGGGACGTTTGAGATTCTTTATATAACTTTTACACATAGTACTCAATAGATGTTTTACTTTCAAATATAAGAAAAACAAGTAATATATAAAAAAAATTTAAGTCAATTCTTACTTTGGTCAACAAAGTACTTTTTATTAAATAAATACAATTAATATAAATATGTATATACATGTGAAAGAATCACAATATTAAGTGGCAAAATAAAAAGCGATTTTCCTTGCAATTTTTCATTTTCCTTTCTATATAGGGTGTTGTACTATTTTTTGTTTGTTTGTTACTATTTATTCATTCATTAAATTTAATTATTCCAATAAAATAATATAGTAAAAAGAAACTAAATTCTCAGAATTTAGGTCATCCCAGGTAGTATTCGAACCCACGAACTCTGGAGTAGAAGTCCAACGCGCTATCCATTGCGCTACAGGGACACAATGAGCTGTTTTCCTTTTTATATATGGTGTTGGACTACTATTTTTGTATGTTACTAATTGAATTTAATTAATTATTTTAAACTTGAAAAAAACTGTATTAACATCAAATGTCATCCACTACAAGTTTAAAAAATGTATTTGAACTTGAGTGGATGAATAAAATGTATTTTATTAATGATCGAAAATTTGAACAAGATATATATATATATATATATATATATATATATATATATATATATATATATATATATATATATATTATATATATATATATATATATATATATATATATATATAGAGAGAGAGAGAGAGAGAGAGAGAGAGAGAGAGAGAGAGAGAGAATGCGAACTAATAGTAGGAATTGAATAAAAAAAAGTGTTAAATTAACCTTGAAATTTTTTAAAGGGTCGAATGATTAAAAAACTGTGAATGATTGACAAATTTAATTTTGAATTTTTTTTTAAATAAAAAAATGCCACCCCCTCCCCTCCAAACAAAAAACAGGAAACAAAAATATGTTATAGAATGAAAGGAAACAATTTCTTTATTGTAGGAACCAATACTAAAATTTCTGTTAAATTTAATAACTGAGATGTGTGTATCAGTCGAAAAAAATTATTTTAAAAACCGATCTGTGTGAAAATTATAGGTCTGCATGTTAGAATATAAATTAGATTTTTTATTGGATTAGATTAGATTTAGATAATTTTTAATAATAAAAAAAAACAGGAAACAAAAATATGTTATAGAAAGAAAGTGCAATAAACATGAATTTCTTTTTTGTAGGAACCAATAATAAAATTTGTGTTAAAATTTAATAACTGAGATGTGTGTGTCAGTCGAAATAAAATGCTTTAAAAACAGGTCTGTTATAATTATAGGCCTGTATATTAGAATATAAATCAGAATCATACTTTATTTCTTTTATTTATCTATATTCTCTTATTTTTTTTTACTTTTGTATGATTGTTTCTGTTCCATAACCCATGCGTGTAGATCATAGAACCTTATGCTCTACACGCATCAACAAATACTCGCTAGGATATAAGCCAAAAAATTTCCTCCCATATACGTATAAATATTAGGATTACTGTGTGTGTATTGAAATTGGCTGTTTGCCTAATAACCTATGTTATGGTTAGAAACATTACCTTTTGATAAGTATTTGGAAATTGGGAAGCGTGACTCACTCCAGGCGCGATGACGAAGCAGACGATATCTGAGAGATATCGATCGTTCGAAATTGGGTTTGCTTGTAGTCGTCATGACAACTGGGTTGTTGCAGTCACGACAACATCAAGACCGTGCCAGAGAATGGAGGTATCCATTGCCCGAAACAATGCTCTAGACTTGACTTTGTCTAATGAGGGTAGCGTAACGAGAGGGAAGAGAGGCGGGGAGGGGCGATTACTTGGCGAGTCACCAGGTGACATACAAGGGACCTTAACTGTAATTACGTCCGTACACGCACGATAGGCCGAAGGATTTTCTTTTAATAGCCACTACTCAAGGTTTGGTCCAAGAGTATACCATAAGCAAGCTCCGCCATTGATTATTTGAGACGGATGTAGGTTAAAATAAAATTACTTGATGGAATTTGTACTATTTGACGGTTTTAAATTTAACGTACAATATAGAACACTCGCATTTTTCTTATTGAGCTCATCTAAAACCAAATATTTGATGTTCTAGGACACTTTAACAAGAAAATGCTCAGCATCAAACTCGATCCCCCTCTGTGTGTGTGTTATTTTTTGAAAATAAAATTATATTTAAAAGCATTAATTTTTTGTTGTGTTGTTATTGTCGAAATGAAAGAAATCTTAATTTTTTAGATTAATATATTGTGGCTAGAATTAAATAAATTAAGCATTGATGTTTTAAGTATATTCAGAAAGCATATATATGATCATATGGCAGTGTTTCTCAAACTGTGGGGCGCGCCCCCGAGGGAGGCACGAACATCTTGAAACGTCGAAAACAAAAGATTGTCTAAAAAAGTTATTAAAGTACTGAGGTTAAATACAAACAAGATACATTCTGACTTAACAGAAGATAAAATATACATTTACACTGATTTAAAACACTTATAAATTTATCGGTACTGCACAATATATGTATTTTATAATTAATTTAACAATAGTAGTTTAAGAACAAGTTTAATAATTACCAGTGACTCTATGGGATTGTCATATATATAAGTTTTTTTTAAATTAACACTTGTTTTGATAATTTGTCCGACTTATAATTTGTTATGGCTCACTCCGTCGAATACTCAGCACTCACTCAGAACACAGTTTTTAGTGGACTGGTGTTTATTTTTTACTCACAACTCTTTTTAGTTACATCAGAATTACTGGGCATGCGCAGTCCAGGCAGCGCTGTTGCGCTTGCGCAAACATTCCGCCCGGCATTGCAATGTTACAACATTCAATAAGTTTCATGGCTTTTTACAATATTGTTATATTAAAATGTAACATTATTAAAATAATTATAAATCAGAAAGAATTCACTAAAATACACACAATACTAAAAGATTAATTACAGTAACTTAAAAATAAGTAAAATCTTGTAATACAAAAAGAAAAAAAATTCATTCTCTCATGGGCAAGATACAAATTTTAGAAATAGGTCTTTTTACTACACCATGTTGAGTCTTGATTGTTACAACCCTAATTCTATTATCCTTTCCAGGAAATACCTCGATCAATCTGCCCATTAGCCATTTATTGACTGCTAAGTTATCCTCTTTAATAAGGACTAAATCACCAACTCTAGCGTTATCCTTTTCAAATTTCCATTTAGATCTCTGTTGAAGATTACTTAAGTAATTATTACTCCACCTTTTCCATATAGACTGCACAATTTTTGTTAATCTCTGATATATGTTTAATCTATTTGTTTCTATATGTATAATGTTTGGTTCATTAATGGAAGTAATTGGTCTTCCAATTAAAAAGTGTGCCGGTGTCAAAACCGACAAATCGTCTATATCCGTTGACAAAGGGGTGAGAGGACGGGAATTCAAAATTCCCTCAATTTGAGTCATAATGGTTAGAAACTCTTCATAAGTAAACCTAGAATTGCCTGCCTCACGTTTAAAATGGAATTTGAACGACTTTACGCCAGCTTCCCATAAGCCGCCAAAATTTGGTGCTCTGGGAGGGAGAAATTTCCAATTTATATTTTCATCTACTAAGAAACCAGCCAATTCAGGATCATGATTTAACACTAACTTGTACAATCTCTTGAGTTCTGCATTAGCTCCTATAAATGTTTTATTATTATCAGAAAATATTAGAGAGGGTCTTCCTCTTCTAGCAATAAATCTCTTTAATGAGGCAATAAATGTCTGCGTTGTTAAATCCGACACTAATTCAAAATGTACAGCTTTAGTGACAAAACACACAAAAATTGAAACATATATCTTATACAAACTACTTTTACGCTGTTTGCTGCTCTTGATCCAAAACGGTCCAATAAAGTCAATCCCACTGCAATCAAAGGGAAAATTTTCCCTAACTCTTTCTTTAGGCAAATTGCCCATTATTTGTTCACAAGTTATAGGTTTCACTTTAAAACATACAAGACAATCATGTACTATTTTCCTACATACATTACGTCCTCTAAGAGGCCAAAATCTCTGTCTTACTTGATATAGTAAGGCCTGTGGACCTAGATGGAAGTATTTTAAGTGAAAATATTCTGCAATTATAAATTCGTTAATTTATGGTTACAAGGTAATATTACAGGAAATTTTTGCATTCAAAGTTCAAATCACTATTACAAAGTCTACCACCAACTCTCAACACACCATCTTTATCTAAAAAGGGATTTAAGCTTTTTATAAGACTTTCTGCAGACACTCTATTATTTTCTTTCAAACTCATTATATCTTTTTTGAACTCCTGTAGTTGCACAATCCTGATTAAGGTGACCTCCGCTTGGTTGATTTCCTGGACATCTAAAGGTCCTCTCCTTTTTTCTCCTCGGCAATTTGCTATGAATCTAAAAATAAAACTAAACATTCTAATTATTTTAGTGTACTTATTACTTATATTTAACAGGTCAGTCATAAATGCGTGTGTGTGTGTGTGTGTGTGTGTGTGTGTGTGTGAGTTTGTTAGGTTTAAATTAACACAGTGCTTTGCGTTACTTTTAAATTCACAGTTAAATTCATCATTATCAGTCACTGATGAAAGGGCATTCTTTTCCAGAAAATCTTTCGTCGTTAAAAACTTAGGTCCATTCCACCACAAAGAGTTGTTGAGAAGACTGGACGGGTCGAGACCTCTTGAAACGAGGTCAGCTGGGTTCTGTTCCGAAGAAACATGATGCCATTGCTCTGCGTTAATCAAGTATTGGATTGTGGCAACTCTATTTGCCACGAAGGTTTTAAGCAAGTTAGGCTCCTTCTGGATCCACGCTAAGACAATAGTCGAGTCACTCCACAGGTACACGGGGGGTGTTTTCATTTGTAAGGCAGTCTCAACTCTTTTAATCAGTTTTGCAAGAAGAACGGCGGCACACAGCTCGAGTCGCGGCATGGTGACACTCTTCACAGGTGCTACTCTGCTTTTACTTGTTACAAGCTTCACTGTTGTTGCACCATCTGGCGATTGAGAACGGCAATATATCACTGCTCCGTAACATTTCTCTGAAGCATCAGCAAAATCGTGAAGTTCTACCCTTATCGCTTGAGGATGCACAATACATCTACCAATGCAGATACTTCTTACACTGTTGAAGTCCTCTAGGAAACGATGCCACTCTTTGGCTCTCTCAGAAGGCAACTCGTCGATCCAGTCGATTTTAAGACTCCAAAGACTCTGCATGAAGATCTTGGTTCTTGTGCGACTACTGGACCTAATAGTCCTAATGGATCAAACAGTCTAGCTATTGTCGAAAGGACACATCTCTTGGTATAGAAGTCTTTTAACTCCACTGCAATTTTGAAAATAAAACAATCCTCTTGTGATTTCCAGGACACTCCTAAC